GGTGGAAGCTGGCGTGGCCGCACAAAAATGAACGCGGGCCGCTTTGCTTGGAAGTGGTCAAATTTTTGGCTCTCTGAATCTCTGCTCCGCGGACCGGGTAAAAGAGTAGCGCGGCCGCGGAGCCTGACCGCGGACCGCGTGGAAATAACCGCGGCCGCATAACCATCCCTTTGAATCTACCATCCTCCGAACCTCCTAGTGCGGCCGCGTTCACAGTTGTGCGGTCCGTACTAGGTCCTCTTTTCCTCAACTTGCTTAGTCTTTGACACTTGAGCAGGTTTCACTCCTTTTTGAGCTGATATTTGACATTCGTCGCTTTGTCAATCAAACCTGCAATCAAGTACAACTTGTGAGCATTTTGGGACTATTTTGTAGCAATTTTTAACCAAAGCATAGGCAAGTAGGGGCATAAAACACGTTAAGATCCTAACTTATCAAGCACCGATGAGGATCATAGGAGAGCGAACAGAGAAAGATATAAGGAGGCTAGGAAGGAGGCGAAAGTAGCGGTCACAGAGGCTAAGACTGCTGCTTTTGGTCGGCTTTATGAGGAACTGGGGGGCAAAGGTGGGAATAAGAAGTTATTTCGATTGGCCAAAGCGAGAGAGAAGAAGGCTCGCGATCTGGGCTGTTTAATGTTATCTTCAAGACAAAGAGGATGCCTGATGAGTGGCAGTGGAGTACAATGGTTCCGGTGTACAAGAACAAAGGCGATATCCAGAATTGTAACAACTATAGGGGTATCAAGTTACTAAGTCATACCATGAAAGTCTGGGAGAGGGTGGTGGAAATGAGGATAAGGAGGGCGGTGTCTATATCGGAAAACCAGTTCGGGTTCATGCCGGGCCGTTCTACTACGGAAGCTATCCACCTTATAGGAGGTTGGTAGAACTATACAGGGATAGGAAGAGGGATTTGCATATGGTGTTTATTGACCTAGAGAAGGCATATGACAAGGTCCCTAGGGACGTCCTTTGGAGGTGTCTGGAGGTGAAAGGTGTGTCGGTGGCTTACATTAAGGCGATAAAGGATATGTATGATGGAGCTATGACTCGGGTTAGGACTGTGGGAGGTGACTCAGAGCCTTTTCCGGTGGTTATGGGATTACACCAAGGATCTGCGCTCAACCCGTTCTTAATTGCTCTGGCGATGGACGCACTGACACACCATATCCAAGGAGAGGTGCCATGGTGTATGTTGTTCGCTGATGATATAGTTCTGATTGATGAGACGCGAGGCGGCGTTAATGGGAGACTGGAGGTATTGAGGCAGACTCTAGAGTCTAAAGGTTTCAAGTTGAGTAGGACTAAGACGGAATATGTGGAATGTAAGTTCAGCAACGTGACGGGGGAAGCGGATGTGGAAGTTAGGCTTGACTCACAGGTTATCCTCAAGAGAGAAAGTTTTAAGTACTTAGGGTCAATTATCCAGGGAGATGGGGAGATCGATGGGGATGTTACGCACCGTATAGGAGTGGGGTGGATGAAATGGAGGTTAGCGTCTGGAGTCCTGTGTGACAAGAATGTGCCACCAAAACTCAAAGGTAAGTTCTATAAAGCGGTGGTTAGACCGGCCATGTCGTATGGAGCTGAATGTTGGCCAGTCAAGAATTCACATATCCAGAAGATGAAAGTAGCAGAAATGAGGATGTTGAAATGGATGTGTGGGCACACTAGGCTAGATAAGATTCGGAATGAAGATATTCGGGAGAGGGTAGGCGTGGCTCCCGTGGACGACAAGATGCGGGAAGCGCGGCTTAGATGGTTCGGACACGTGTGGAGGAGAATCCTAGATGCACCGTTAGGAGGTGTGAGCGGTTGACTTTGGCAGGTACGAGAAGAGGTAGAGGGCGGCCTAGGAAGTACTGGGGCGAGGTGATCAGGTAGGACATGGAGCGACTTAAGATTTCCGAGGACATGGCTCTTGATAGGAACATGTGAAGGTCGAGCATTAGGGTGGTAGGCTAGGGGGTAGTCGAGAGTTCTTCCCTCTTTGTACCGGGTAGTCTGTTAGAGTTTCGTTAGGTTTGTTAGCGGTCTTTGTTGTATTCACATTGGTGTTTTGCATAGTTTTGTGTTATTGTCCTTTCACTTATTTGTTGTGGTTATTTTCTTTCTGGTATCTTTTATTGTTACATTTTTTTTCTCTTATTTCTTTTCTGATATTATTGCCTTTCCTGTTGAGCCGAGAGTCTCCTGGAAACAGTCGCTCTGCCCTTTTCGGGGTAGGGGTAAGGTCTGCATACACTCTACTCTCTCCAGACCCCACTAGTGGGATTTTACTGGGTATGTTGTTGTTTGTTGTTTTTTCTATAAGCAAAAGGGTGAATCAAATTCTTTTTGGCCCATCCTAGCAGCCTACTTTTCCCTTGAACAAATATTTTATTCTTTTGACTAGCCTTTTCTTTTGCATTACATTCACTTCTGTAGTGACCAGTCTTACCACAGTGTGTGCAGATTCTGTTCTCAGGAAGTATGAGGTACTTGCTTTTGGGATCCCACTTAGGTGCAGGGGTCCCGTAGCCAAGTCCTGTCTTATTGCTACTATGGTGTTCATGTAGCCATGAAAGTGCATCAGAGGACCTATTCCATTTATAGGTTTTGTCTAGCTCGTGCTTAACCTTACTTAGATCCTCCTTAAGGACTCTTATCTGCTCATCTCTTTTGTACAACTCGTCTTTCATTTTTTCTAGGTTTTCTTCTAATGTGAGTTGTGAGTGATCAGCTTTCTTTTTACCTGTTCCTAATTTCAATTTTAGATTTTCAGATCTTAGCTCTAGGATAGTGATGTTAAGTTCATGAACCTTGTTCTTTAACTCATCATTTTTACTATTACTTTCACTAGCCCTAAGTTCCAGATTTTTGCACTTAGCTTTCAAAATCACACATTCCTTAGACAGTTGTTCCTTTTCATTGTTTAGATCCTCAGATTCATCAATGAAATCCAGGAGTAACTTAGATTGCCTTTCTTTAGACAAAAATTTGATCTTCTCTTTGAGATGAATTATACTTACCTCAGATTCCTCATCGGATTCTCCAATTGCCATAAGTGTTTGTTCATCTCCATCTTCATCCTCTGAGTCCTCATCTGAGCTTTCTCCCCAGGCAGCAACCATAGCCTTTGTTGATCCTTTGTTCTTCTTGGGTTAAACATGTTCCTTCTTCCTATTCCTTCGTTCAGTTCTTTCCTTCTTCCGTTCAATTTCCCATTGAGGCAGTTTTTGATGTGGTGATCAGTAACACCTCTCATTGGTTTATTTTTTAGGAACCCTTGGTTTGTTGTAGCTTCCACTTCTTGAAGGACCCTTTCCTCTCATTAGGTACTTCTTGAAGTCCTTTGTGATCATGGTCATTTCATCCTCCTCGAGATCAACATCTTCAGTGATTCTGAGTGTCAGGCTTCTTTCCTTCTTGGGTGCATCCATCTTCATGGTTTGCCTTCTAAGTTCATAGGCAGTGTGATTTCCAATTAGCTCATCCAACTTATGAGTGACAATGTTCTTTGATTCCTAAATATCAGTGATTTTGCTTTCCCAGGAGATTGGCAGAACCCTTGTCAAAATCTTCTCAACTTTGTCTTCTTCAAGCATAACCCTTCCAAGAGACTTAAGTTCATTTGTCAGTGTGGTGAACCTTGTATACATCTCCTGGATGGTTTCCCCTTCCTTCATGGTGAAATTCTCATATTGAGAATATAGCAGTGCTCCTGCGGACCTCTTCACTTGAGATGTTCCTTCATGAGCCACTTGCAAAGTGTCCCAGATTTCCTTAGCAGTGGTACAGCTTTGAATTTTATTGTACTCGTCTGGACCAAATCCACACACAAGCTAAGGCCATTTCTTGGCCTTAGCATTCTTTTCCCATTTCCTCAAGTCCCCAGCATTGAAGTCAGCTCTTGTTTTTGGCACATCTACTCCTTCGGCATTCTTCTTCATGGTAGCCAGGGGACCATCAGTGACAATTTCCCATAACTCATAGTCTTCTCCGATGATGTGATCTCTCATCCTGTTTTTCCACCAAGAGTAGTACTGGCCATTAAAGAGTGAAGGCCTATCAGTGGATTGCCCTTCCCAGTTTCCAGGTGGTGCGCTCATCTTGATCTGTTCCTAAGGTGTTAGCCTCTTCAAGGATAACCTGGCTCTGATACCAGTTGATGTTTTATACTTCAATACCACACAAGAGGGGGGGGGTGATTTGTGTGGTTACTAATTTTTCGCTTAAACTGATTATGGTAGGACCTGATTCTTCTATGTGTTCCTTCTACTACTGTTGCGGAATAATAAATATAGAAAGTAAAGAACACAAGTATTTTTAAGTGGAAAACACCCGGCTCAAAAGGTGAAAAAATCACGACCTACTACTCAGTACGATTTTCCCCAACACTTCACTAAATCACTGAGCCAAAACAGCATTTACAAAACTCTTTGTAAACCTAAGGATTACCTCTAATCTCGTTGTAGCAACCAGCCTCTACCTGCTGCGACAACTTCAAGTTAACTCTAACTTGAATACTCAAAGTACCTATGACAATTGCTTCTAAATAAAGCTAAACGGTACAATATGAGAACACCTACTACAATTGAACTAGAAATGAAGAAACATAAAACTCTTTATGGAGCTGGTTCTTCAATCTGGTTCATGTAGCTTCAGATTTGCACACTTGAATCACACACGAACTGCTTGTAAAAAGCCTTGCTATTTTGCTCTCAATTCACGTTTAACTTATGCGTTTTTGTGCAACACCTGTAATGTGAGAAAATCCTGCAATTTATAAAGTTAGTAGATAAAGAAATTACTAGAGTTCTGATGCAACTCTTCCTTGGTAGAAGAGTTCTAGTTGATTTCAACTTCTAACTCATTCCCTATCTTGGATAGTGTTCTCTTTGATTAAGGAGTCCTTCTCCTTATCAATTATGCAATCTTTTTGATCAGGAGATATTAAATAAACCAAGTTAAGCTTATCTCGTTCACGTGCATCCCACATGCTCGAATTTGCCCGTTTCTATGCACACAAGGGATGGACCTGGTTCATGCCTGAGTTCCTTTGTCAGTCTTCAAAACTAACCTTTACTTGTGCCAACAACTATGTTCCGATTCAATGATAAGGAAGATAGAGTTGGGGTAGGAGTCTACGATGCGATACTAATGTATAGTTGGGGGAGATACATGATAACTATGAATAGGAAGCAAAAACTATTATGTTAAAAAGTTCGAGGGTGTTACTAGTATCTGTTATGAATCTCCCATCAATATTAGATATCGGACAATTCTTATCACCAAGGCTTAAACAAATTAGAAGAGGCAAACCCTTCTTTTCAAAGTTACAAATGTTTCCTGTATATTTCTTATATCATATAGTATATGCAGATTTCCTTGGTCAGATCTCTTGATCCAATCTGTTTGGGATACAAAATTAAATATTTCTTTCCAAGTTTTAACTAAGTCCAAAACCTTTCTCAATAACTGAAGTTCCAACCAATTTTTCGAAACAAGAATGTCTACACAAAAAACGAACCTCACCGCAACTCCCATCAGTTCTTATCCTCAATTCATCCACGTTATCAGATTCCCCTTCGCATTTGCCACGTTATAATCTTCATTTCTATCCATCGTTTAGATAATTATTATAAATCCTTTAGTATTTGTCCAAGAATTTTTAAGTGATCATGGAAACAAGAAAGAAAAACATTAGAATTGTGATGTTGCCATGGCTAGCTCATGGTCATATCTGCCCATTTCTAGAGCTAGCAAAAGCACTTTCAAAGAGAAATTTCATCACTTACCTCTTTACTACACCAGTAAATCTCACTTTTTTCAAACAAAGACTTTCTGTGAAAGAATCCATACGTATTAAGTTAATGGAAATCCAACTTCCAAATTTGCCTCAACTTCCTCCTCATTTTCACACAACCAATGGCCTTCCACCCCATCTCATGAACACTTTAAAAAAGGCATTTCTCATGTCCAAACCTGATTTTTTCACAATTCTTGATACTTTAAAACCAGACTTAATCATCTATGATTTTCTCCAGCCATGCATTCCAACAATGGCTGCTACATTGAATATCCCAGCTGTCCTATTTCTCACTCCTGGTGCTGCATCAAATAGTTATCATTATCATGGTAGGAATAATAATCCAAGTTCTGATTACCCTTTTCGCGAAATCTTTTTTCGTGATCATGAGCATAGGAAAAACAAGGAAATATTCGATTTGCTTGAGAATGATGGCATTGATGAGAAAAATGGTGTCACGAGATGCTTTGAAAGATCACATGACATCGTCTTGATCAAGACTTTTAAAGAGCTCGAAGGCAAATATATCGATTACCTCTCAGTGTTGTTCAAGAAAAAGTTTGTTCCAGTTGGCCCTCTTGTTCGAGAAATTGAGCAAAATGGTAAGCAACATTGTGAGATCATTGAATGGCTCAATGAGAAAGAAAAATGTTCGACGATTTTCGTTTCATTTGGGTCTGAATGCTTCTTGTCCAATGAGGAAGTTGAAGAATTGGCACTAGGACTTGAGCTTAGCATGGTGAATTTCATATGGGTAGTTAGATTTCCAATGGGAGAAAAAAAGAATATTTTAGAGGTTTTACCAAAAGGATATTTTGAGAGGGTTGAGAATAGAGGGATAGTAATTGAAGGATGGGCACCACAAGGAAGAATTTTGGAGCATACGAGTATCGGGGGATTTGTGAGCCATTGTGGTTGGAGTTCAGTAATGGAGGCGCTTAATTTCGGTGTTCCAATTATAGCCATGCCCATGCAACATGATCAACCACTAAACGCAAGGTTAGTGGTAAATGAAGTAGGGGTAGGAATGGAAATTCATAGAGATGAGGAAGGAAATCTTGGCAAAGAAGAGGTGGCTAGGATTGTAAGAGAAGTGGTGTTGGAGAAAAGTGGAGAGAGATTGAGGGAAAAAGCGAAGGAATTTAGTGAGATAATGAGAGAAAATGGAGAAAATGACATTGATGAGGTGGTGGAAGAGTTGCATAAGCTATGCAAGAAAACATTAAGGCATAACTACTACCTAGGAAAACTATTTTAGAAAGAAAGAAAGAAAAAAAAGAGCCTTATTTACCTTTTATCTTTTTCTGTTTTGTTTGTCTTAGTGAAAAGCGGAGCCTTGGCATAACGAAAGCTTCTTTGTCTGGTTTTCTTTCTTTGTTCCTTTAACTTTAATTTGTTCAATGAATTTCTCCAAAGAGATCATTGGTGGGATTTGTCTTTGAAAATCAATCCTTTTGAATAGAGGGCCGACGTAATGGAACATAGTCCCTAAGTTTCATTTTATGTGATTGCGTCTGATTGGGGTCGTGACTCGTAAGTATAAAGTTTAAAAAGAAAGACTTGAATTTTATGGTCTAAAATAAGCCATATACACTTGCATGATTATAAATTTTTCATTAAGGGTTAGATAGGAAGTGTATAATTAACTTATTTCTAAATATAAAAATATGTTCTTTTCGGCACAGATTTAAATAAAGTTCAAGAGAGAGAGCGAAACGTATTTTTTGAGTGTCAAACAACATAAAGAATGTATAAGGTTCACTATACCACTAGTATTATTTTGAATAAATAATTAAGTTTAAACATTTACTATGAAAGACTTTATTATTTATTTATTTATTTTATTTGAATGTAAAAATTAAAATGACAAAATAAATTAAAAGAATCAATATTATATAGTAGTTAAATCAAAGTAATAATATTGGACAAGTGACTTAAATTTAAGGAGAAAAGTGTACAGGTTACACATCCTCTTTACCTCAAAGTATGAGCCATGAAAATGGGAGGTATGTAGAAGTCAGCATCAGCTACTGAAACACTTGATAGCAAACAAGTGAAGCAAACAACATGAAACAATACGCCAAAAAAGAAAAAGGGAAGTTCTATCACCAGAACAACAATAAAAACAGTAGACTTGCCACAAAATCTCTTATCCAGATGAACCATGTGTCTTCAGTCCCATGCAGAGACAGAAACATTACTTTCAACCTCCCTGGACTGTCATGGTATTCTCATTCACCATAAAGCAGCATAACTCAAGTCAAGAATAAATAACGAGTTTAAGTTCTATGCACGGGCAAAGTAAATAATATGAGTATTTACATAATCTCGGATCATTTATATGGTGGTAAATCTCTATGATAATGATTAATTGGTAGCCAAGTAAAAAATGGTAACCAACCTACTATAACATGTTGTATTAACTAACGGTATTAAGAATCTTTCTATTGGCAGCGTATAAGTTAAATCCATAGATAATGTAATGCAAGAATCACATTAACTCAAGCCGAAACCTCTTCAAATAAGTTCAAATGATGAACAGCAGCCTTTGGTCAATAACGGAATAATCCCTGCTTGCACAAAGGCTATCAATCACACAAGTCTTACAACTGCTAAGTGACGAGTATTGCTAGTTTCATTTACGGGTATTAATTCTAACCACCTTCAGTTCACTTTTTGTTTACAAGAACTTCACTTCTGTAAACTCTCTCTATACTAGCCAACGAAGAATAGATATCTATATCTATCTGACCAGTGCTACTAAATGACATCACATACAATTTCTCAGTATGCACAGTAAGAGAGTTGATTGTCTAGTTGTAAATAAGCACAACTTCTATCAGATAGCTAGCAATACACAGACATATATTATAAGATCATATACTATAGTTTTGACAGCTTAAATAACTTCACTTCCTTTGGCAAAAACCAGGATAAGATGTTGAAGTTAACTAGACAAAACAAATCACGAAGCTGTACAACAGTAATATAACAAGCCATGAATTGTCTTATCTGTCGGATAGACGTTGCATAAGTCCTCTCAATGGCCAGGAGAGGCGCTGCAAATGCAAGCATCATCTTTGGACTTTAGGAGGCAAAGGATGCATGCATCCCAATGTTGCCCTGGAAAATGCACATGCTCCGTGAATAAGGATTTTGAGAAAATAAATCCACATGCTTCCAGATTGCGAGGAGACCAAAGAAATAAGTAAATAAAATCCATAGGTATGTTACAACAAAGTGCAATGATTTCACCAATTTCAGTGCTCAGTTAGAAGCTTCAGAAGTAGGAAAAGATAATAGACTTATTAAGATGATCCTCCATTTTATTGATAGGTACATGACATCCTAAAAACTAAATGTATCCTTACACATGGATCTACTGTTGGTTTCTTCCAACTCAGAAAACAATTATTCAGGAAACACTAACTGCTTCATTCTTATCTGTTTTCCGCCCCCTTGAAGAGAGCTTTTGGGTTGTAACATTTAAACTTCGACATTTCCATAGCAGGAATGTCATTGACTACATCAGAAATCAGGGAAAAGGTGATTTTTACAGTTCGATGCTGATACTGGAAAATACCCAAAGTCCTACAGAAAAAACATTCGTCACAAAGTTCAAAGTATGAATTTAAGAATAATAAAGTCGATTTCTTTTCAAGAATATATGGCAAGATAACATAGTTACAAATGGGGCAACTGTCTACAATGGTGGAGGTTAACGACCAAGACAGAATTAACAAATGTGTCACCTATTTTCATGCCTTTACAATGCTACTCAAGTCAAAACATGGATGTGGTCCTACCATCAAAAAGAAAGCCAAAATGGAAACATTAATTATCAACTGACATGAATACCAGTTCCAGCAGAAATTAAAGTCCTGAGCTCCGTCAAATGTTCGTCATTTGAGATATGGAGTGCGATGCGGAGATTTGTTAGTAATGCTTCTTGTTCCCAACTCAAGGGACCAGAAGCATACAATGCCTCCAAAGTGCAGCGATAAGCATGCAACTCCAGCTCATGAATACTTGCTGCAACATTATCCTCCGAAGAAAGACGGCAGCTTTCCTCCTCATGTGCTTCTGCTGAACCTTGAAAAGACTCTGCATCACTGCACAGAAGATCAGGTACATGATAATGAACTTCGGCTGAAAAGCTAGAAATTTTATCAGGACTCTCATGATAAATACTACAACTACCAACTGAGCATGCATCACTATCAGAATCATTAGATTCTCCAATTCTGGCAGCGGAATAGCCATTGGCACCACTCTTTTTTGTAGGTTTCAATCCGTAATATTCATCAGACCAATTGTTAAATGAAGCACCCACACACTTCTCATCCATCATATTTCCTTTGCACTTGGCAATAACATGTGTCTTGCCCCCTAAGGAAGCCGGAACTATTCTTTGTCTCTTAAAACCTCTCTCAGCTGCCACTACCTCCTGAATGTTTCTAGATGATTCATCTGACACCCTTTTCAGTGACACCAAAGAGCTAGAATGAGACTTCTGCCTTTTAATGTTTCCCTGAGCAGCAAAATCTCCGTCTCTAACATGACAACCATTCCTAGCACTTAAGACCAGGCTCAACTTTTTACAAGGTTTTTGAGCAGAAAGCTGGTCAGGTTTTGCACAGGTACCAGATCCCTGTAAGTGAAAACCAAGACAGGGTCAAGAAATGCATCAAAAAGAAGGGTTATCTTTCCACTAATACATTTACTAGACAATGATAAAACAACCAACAAAACAAGGGATAAAGCAATGATCAGAATGGTTAAAGAGAGGTTAGTCTAAAGGGGAAAAACTCTTAAACAGCAAAACTTAACAAATACCAACACCATCAAGAAATTCTATCTAATAAAATTCAACAGATAAGATAGTAAAAGTGAGATGCTTAATTTCTTCTGTCATTCTACATTACTCGCAAATAAGGTCAAAACTCAAAACCAAAAAAAAGGAGAAAAATAAGAGCACTAGGAGAAGGGTGAAAGGGAGAGTCAGAATGAAGACTTGCCTTTCCGATCAAGTGCCATTTTTCATCTTGCCAACATTGTCGCACTCTGGTGTTTGATCTGTGAACCTTAATCTCCTGAGGACACCCAGTTGGGTGTACCAAATAATAGCCTCTGTTCAAAACATTCACAATTCTGGCAGTTTTCCATGAACAGTTATCGAACACCTCGATTATTTGACCAGTTTCCCCATTCTCCACACCCTCTAGAGAAGGGGGACACGGTCTGATGTCCCTCCTCGAAACCCTCTCGACCCTCGCATAGCTTTCCATACCTGGATAACAATTATACATTACAGAGTAAGTATGCCCATTACCAGAGAGGATCTCAGCGGGAGACCAAGATACGGGCGAATCGTTCTTGTTCATCACCTCAACTTTACTTCCTCTTTTAAACCTCATGACCTATGATTTAGCCAACAATTAATAACCTGATTTTCACAAAGAAAAAGAAAAACATGAGAGCTATACATAGGAACCAAGCAAATTCTTGTCCAGGTAGAATTAATATGAGATCAAAACTACAAACAAACAAAAATGGCATTTAAATCACAACATGATTAACTAAATGTAAAGTGATATATAAAGAGAGAAATATCAACAAAGTTTCTTCTTTTCCAATAAAATAAAAGTACCCATAAAAAGAGTGTATTTTTCATCAATATGATTCTCAGATATATACAGGAAGCAAGAACAAAAACTCTACTCAAAGCCCCACAAAACAAAAAACACTCAAGCTAAAACATAAAATTAAAAAATAATAATTAGTACTATAAATTTCAAAATACTTGATGAAAACACATTGATCAAATTTTTTTAAAAAAAAAATCAAGGAACAAACTAGAGTAGGCACTAATCAGAACATATGTATAAAACAGAACAAAAAATAGAGAATAAAAAAATTAATAACAAAGATTAATATTTTATGAATGAATTGCAGGAATGATCAAAAAATACCCAGAAAATTTTACCAAAAAATCGATAAATTAGGTTTGGGAAATTTAAAAAATAGACATGAAATTTAAGGACCTTTTCTTGAAATTGAAGCAATGCTTCAGCTTGTGAAGTTGTTGATCGCAAATAAAATTGATTTTCTCAAAGAAACTAAATGAATTTTCCCTTTGTCGGATTTGGGTAAATGGTATTTTTGTGTTCTAGGGTTTGGTTTTTGTTGGGGAAGAAAATTAAATAAGAAAAGAAAATAATTTATGAGAAAAATAAAAATAGAGAGAAGGGTATTATTGGAAGATAATGATGATTTGATTCCAGAATTTGATCCACCAGAAAAAAACTTTAAGGGCCCCATGAAACGATGCACGCTTTTTTTGTTTGTTTCAAGAATATTAATTTCTTTTTTTATTTTTTTCGTTTGTGTTTACAACTAATTACATGTCCATTTGGTATTACATGGAAATATTCTCTGTAAAAAATTTACTTCTTTTATTTTAATTTATATGACACACTTTCTTGTTGGAATATATCAAAATGTTGACTTTGTTTTGTATTTATCCTTCATCGCTTTTAGAATACATAGGATCGTTGAAATTACTTAAACTAGAAAATAATTACGGGATACAATTAGATATAATTTTACATTACGTTTGGTTGGTGTTCCATTTTCATATAAGTAAATAAGTAATATAGGTATAAATTTATATTTCAATTCTTGTATTATTTTTTAGCAGATTCAACATGAAATAATTTAGACAGAAATAACTTCACGAAGATAAAGCACCTAAAGATTGGGATAACTTTGATTTTATCTTTTTATTTTTATTCACTTTTAAAACAAAGGTAAATTATTACCTTTTATATTATATATTCTACTTACAATTTTAATATAATGAAGCCATTTACCAGGAAATCGGCTTATTAATTCCAACATTACATTCACTGCATTATAATAACTTCAGAAGTCTGTCTCTAAATGAATGACTCCTAAATTCATTAAACTATTCACTCAGAAATTGTTATATAAATGAAAATAATAGTACTATTACTTTTGAAAGTCTTATGGAGTAATAACGATTTATTAGTATAAGGGTAAATAGGGAACTGTGGTGATATTTAGTGATCGTCATGAATAGTACAAAATTGGAATTCTAGTTAATAAATATCAATTAAAGATAAGTTTAAAGTTTAAATTCTTATTAGAGCGAGTCACGAGAAAATTTCTCGTGCAATATATTTAATCTTAATGAAGATAATTAATTTGTTAGACAAATAGGTAAAATATTAATGTAGCCGCAAGTACCTTTGACTGTCTAAATAAAAAAATATAAATGATAAAAAATAATTTATGCTTACATTGTCGTAACCGCTTGCGCTATGAGTAGCAAAGACTTGTATCAAAAAGTAATTAATGGTAAATTAGCATTCATCAATCATCAATATTTATCTGTTTAAGAAAAAGTAATTGGAGCATGAGAATAGCGGAATTAAACTCGGGTAACACTTATTTACATCCCTTAAGTTTGCTTTAAAAATTAAACTCATCCTCCAACTTTAAACAATTATCATTTTGCTCCTCATATTAAAGGTGACTTCTTAAAATACCTATTTTACCCTCTACAAATTTTATCTCTTATTTTAATTCTTTAATATAATGAAATTTTCTTATTTTAATTTATGTTATTGACTAACATATAGACAAATTAAAAAAAAAAAAAAAAAAACTTTTCGAAACAAAAAAAAAAGTGAGAAGTAATAGTCAAGAATATAAGTTAATGATGTTCAATGTGAAATAAATGAGAAAATAAGAAATTACAATAAATAATTTACTCGTATCAGTAATTTTATTAATAGCGATCAAAACTCAATCTATTTACAAAATTGAGAATAAAAGAGAGTGAAATTTTTATAAATTATACAATGCAAGTAATAAAATATAATAGGGCGAAAAATAGAGGTAAATTTTATAATAAATTTATGACATGATTATTTATTTATAATATTAGTGAGCTTAGATTAAATATATAATAATATATAATATTTTTAACATAAGAATAAATATCTGCATTAAAAAAATATATAAATAATATTAAAAAAATGTATTACATATATGGGGAGTCGAAAATGTCGAGGGTAATATAGACATTGCGTAGGATGAAATGATGAAAATGACAATTGTTCAAAGTTGAAAGATGAGTTTGATTTTTAGAGTAAACTTGGGGGATGTAAATAATTTTCACCCATCAAAATGTGGTGTTTTGCGCACAAACCTCGGCTAATTCATATATATATATATATATATATATATATATATATATATATATATATATATATATATAGTCACGACCCTAGTTCACCAACCATGTCGTGACGGCATCTGGTCCCCATGACCAGGTAAGCCTAACATTTGCGGAAATATAATAATTGCGGAAAAATAGAGAAAATCAAATCAAATATCTAAAGGAAACTGTACTGAATGTCGCTTGGCAAGTACAACTCAATATCACAAGTCTAAAACAATTCCCAAAACCCGGAAACTCACGGGCAACACAGGCTACAGAAGTGTATAGTAAAGGTTCCAAACTCCAGAATTTCTAACAACCGAAAGAAGGAAAACTAAGTACTAAAGATAGAGTAAGAGGAGACTCGTCGGTCTGCGGACGCAGCAGATCTACCTCGAAGTCTCCGTAGTCCTCCTGCCTCACTGATAGTGCGCCTGAGTGGAGGTACCTGAATGATCTGCACATGAAAAACATGCGCAGGAAGGGCGTGAGTACACCACAGCGGTACTCAATAAGTGACAAGCCTAACCTCGGTTGGGTAGTGACGAGGAAGGTCAGGGCCCTACTGAGACAAAATATACTAATAATAATAATTTAACAGTATAAAAATCTGACAGATATAATAAGTACAGCAGTGAGATAAGACAAGTCAACGAGGCTATAACAACTACACGAGTACAGAATAAACACAGAGTAAACACAACTCAATACCAATGATAACAATGAGGGTCTCCTAGGATACCGTCCTGTAGCCCCTTTTTCTCAACTGTCCAGTGGATCTCCCGGGATACTGTCCCGTAGTCCATCATATGTGTACATCCGAAGGATCTCCCGGGATACCGTCCCGTAGTCCAACCATCAATGTGCAGGGGGATCTATCGGGAATCGAACCCGCAGTCCCAAAGTAAAAGTGCAGGGGGATCTATCGGGAATCGAACCCGCAGTCCCAAAGTAAACAAACAAGGGAGGAGCTACCGGAATCCCACATCCGTAGTCCCAATGTAAAGGCACAATCACAACCAGAAGGTACACGGAAACGAAGTACAAAAGACAAGCAACAGGTAGTACTGGCCTAGCATGCTTCACGTAGTACAGTCAAGGCATCTTAAGCAATTAGGCAAGTTAAATCAACTAAACATGATTTCCTAATCTAGCACAAGTTATAATTGCAAGTAGAATAAAGCAAATATGAAAGGAACTCAATCTCGATATCTTAAGAAAACCGGATTTTCAACAATTGGCTCAAGTACGCACTCGTCACCTCGCGTACAAGGCACTCAAATCAACAAATAACAAATCCTAAGGGGAAAGGTCCCCCACACAAGGTTAGACAAGCCACTTACCTCGAACCGGCTCAATATCAATAGAAACCACGCCTTTAATGGCCCAAATCTATTCAATTCAATTACATATCGTAAATAATATTGCAAACAACTGATTCCGCTAATAAATTTACAGCTAGGGCGCAAAAATAGGTAAAATAACCAAAATGCCCCTCAGGCCAACGTCTCGGAATTGAATAATTTTCACATTTTCAGAACCCTCGTACTCTCACGAGTCTAACCATATAAAAATCTCCCAAATCGGAGGTCAATTGCCCACTCAAAACTCAATAATTAGGTCTATGAAGTTTCTTCCAATTTTCTCCAATTTTGACCTTGAATTCAAATTCTAATGGTGGATTTAACTATATATTGATGGAATACAACTAAATAGGGTCAAGAAAACATTACCCAGTGATTTTCTCTTCAAAATCCACCCAAAATCGCCTTCTCCCGAGCTCCCAATTGTTTTTTCTAACTTTTGAATTAACCGTCGAATTATCCCCTTTTCAGAACAGTCATTTCCGCTTCTGCGAACAAGGGACCGCTTCTGCGGTCCCGCTTCTGCGGACCACGAGCCGCTTCTACGGACCACGAGCCGCTTCTGAGGAAGGGGGCACCGGCCGGGTCGTTACATATNCAACATTCGGTTGACTTTTCCAAACAATCCTTCTCATAAAGAGACTTATTGTCTCATTTCTAACCGAACTCTTTCCGAATTACTTCAAATTCTCTAAACACATATAATGAAACATATAGAAGCAATAAACGGGGAAACGGGGCAGTAACTCCCGTAACAACCGGCCGGGTCGTTACATATATATATATATATATATATATATATATATATATATATATATATATATATATATATATATAAAACTTTGTCCACAAAAGCCGGACATAAACAGTTTCAGTGTAACTCTTTCTTGAAACCTCTCAAATCTTCTTCCTAAAAACTCTACCTCACTAAGCCACTCATCCTGCAGCATTGGAGCATGGATTTTAAGTTTGACCCAGGATGTGTGGGTGTTATTCCTCTATGGATCAAATTTTCTGGGCTTCCACTAGGTTTTTAGTCCATAAAAGCTTTGAGCAAATTGGCAAGTGTTGTTGGGAAACCTTTCTACACAGACATAATTACTGCTGAAATGGAAAAGGTATCATACGCAAGAGTACTTGTTGAAGCTGATGTTTCACATCCTCTACCTGATAGTTTGAAATGCAAACTCCAAAGGGGGTAATTAACCAACAGATTGAATATGATTGGAAGCCTAAATTTTGTTGTGAATGCATCAAATTTGGACATAATTCAAATATATGTTGGTTGACGGAAAATCAGGAAATGGAAGAGGAGTTCAAAGAACAGCCAAAGAGAAGAAGGAATAAAGGAAAGCAAAATAAAACTAATCTGAAATGGCTACCAAAGGAGCATAGGGGAGATGAAGCTGGTCAATCAGGGGTGCAAACAGAAATGGAGAAACAACCTATGGTTGAGACAGAAGGTTGTAATCAAGTGGCAAATGACAAGCATGATGAACCAGATCAGAAGAGTCAGGATGATAGAGCAAATGTCAAAGGGAAGGCTATTCAACAAGTTCAAGATGCATTGATCAACTCTAGCAATAGATTTGAAATACTGTAGATGAATGACACAGACATAATACAAGGGGACGATGGCACTCTCAGCTTCACCCA